TTTATCTACTTCACCGGTCCCGTTATCATCGTCGTTGCCCTTTGGGATGCCTTTATTATCCCCGTTGCTTTTGCGAGACCGACGCGCATGCACACGCGTGCAATGGCTGATGCAACTCGCGAAATAGGATGTGTGATGCCGTGATGAAAAACCAGCTGCAACGGTCTTGTTATATTTTTATGATCTCGGTGTCTCGCGCGATAAAAAGGTCCTGTGCTTGATGACGAAACGGGAGCGAGAGACGAGAACGCTCGGATCGATCTCGTGCCTCTCCGCCGGTTGAATCTCCCTTTCGAAGCGCATTAAAAAACTTTTATTTTGCCATTTTAATTTGCGATTAAAAAAAAAAACAAAAAAAAATCGAGCAAAAAGCAAAATATCGTTACACACGAGAGTATCAAAAAAAAAAAAAAAAAAAAAAAAAAAAGATAGAAACGTTCCGTTTCGTTTCTTCGAAATAATGCGCGATACGGTCAGCTTGTAATTTAATTAAAATTTTTTGAAATTACAATTTGCAACGTTCCTTTATTGTATAACGAAGATTCGAGGCTGAAAGAGAATCGGGTTAATTGAAATATACAGAGTAGTCCATTTAAGCGAGACCACCAAAATATCTTTTCGAATTGTGATGATGCTCGCGATGCACTCTCAATTGTCGCGTCTTGGCCAAGATCTATGAATCCCGATTTCAAGAGGTAGATTTATACGTAAAACTTAAATTTTCAAGGTTTTTTTCATTAATTTATCAATTACTTATTTTCTTTTTTACCGATTACACGATATAAAAGAACACATATAGAGTGAAGAAAAACGTCAATGACCTTGAAAAAAATATATTCCTACCAGTGATTGGTATGAATTCTTCTGGATACCGTTCGTGTTAGGCGGAAAATATTTTCTTCGCAATTCGAAAAGATATTTAGGTGGACCAACCTGTACATCGCAAGCGAGAAATGAATCGGTAGGCCTTAATGAGTGAATCGACTAACGAAATCGAAATAGTCTATCGAAAATAGAATATAGAGTAACGATGACGTATCACGGCCGTGCATTACGATCACGGTTCGTCGAATTTGTTGGATCTCGCAGGCCCTTATGACGATTGATAGAAGCTGGCAAGCGAGGTAATCGAAAGTCAAGCTATAATTCTTACTATCTCGCGAGGACGACTATGTTTCGCTATCATTGAAATTTATGCTTGTGTATTCCTCTGGGCGATCTCTCTTTCTCTCTCTTTTTTTCTTGGAACGAAGTATTCTATTTATTCCGTTCTAGAAACCGATTTTCTTATCGAGCAGTCGCGATAGCGCTCCTGCTGTCTCAGAAAGAAACGCGACGAGTTCCCCCGACTTTCAGAAAGTCTCGGAACACTCGGAATTTCATATCGCGAGGACCTTCGTATTCTTCGTCCACTGTCACGAGAAGTTTCAAGAAGCAGGATGCAAACGTCGAAATTTCAAGCATCTCAATCATTAACCGCTTGAAAACAGCTGTTCAACTCTCCCTCGTGTTTGAAGATTTGAAAAACCTAAAAACGTAGAATGGAAAATGTAATTCAATTTTACACACGAGTGGCAGAAGTATTGATTTCGAGAAGATTTACTCGTTTCGAAAGAAGGTTATCTCGGACACTGGTATCTCTTCTCGGTATATAAATAATTTCGCAATGACAGTTTCGTTTGAAGACACTTTTTTTTTTCATTAGTAGAAAAATTGAGATTTATTAAAATTTCAAAAGGTCTCCGCGCCGAATGGAAGATGTAATTCAATTTTCCCTGCGAGTGGAAGAAGTCACTTTGTCTTTAAATCGCGATAGAAAAATTGCTATAAGTGCTAACATTCGAGAAGATTTACTCGTTTCGAAAGAAGGTTATCTCGAACACTGGTATCTCTTCTCGGTATATAAATAATTTCGCAATGACAGTTTCGTTTGAAGACACTTTTTTTTTTCATTAGTAGAAAAATTGAGATTTATTAAAATTTCAAAAGGTCTCCGCGCCGAATGGAAGATGTAATTCAATTTTCCCTGCGAGTGGAAGAAGTCACTTTGTCTTTAAATCGCGATAGAAAAATTGCTATAAGTGCTAACATTCGAGGAGATTTACTCGTTTTTCGAGAGAAGATTATCTCGAATACTTGTATCTTTCGCACGTTAACGAATCGCGACTTCGATCATTCGATCGATCACGCTTTGCAGGCTGCAAAATTTAATAAAATTTACGTTTAAATACGCGAATCTCAAAGAGACGAAATTTCTACACGAACCAAGCGGCTCGAACGGAATTAAAGTCGCTTCGGAACTCAAATAAATCTGTCGCCGGGAAACCTCGAGGAGGGACAGGCAATTTCGTGCCGATTGATACTAATTAATACTCGGACAATCTCTAAAAGTGACGTCTGATCGAGAAACGTGGAACATTCCCGTGCTCGCGGCGTAGCTGGCCGTGAAAATCGGCCAACTTTTCGCATCGTAATCAGCCGGAAGGGGGAAGGGGGAACATAAACAGAAAAGAATGAAGGGACAAAGGGAACGAAGAGAGAAAAACGGTCCCTCGGGACGCTCGATGGATTCATGTCCCTCAGAATACGTAATTCTAAGTGATTTCAGCGACGAAGAGAAGTGAAGTCATCTATCGATACGGCAGTGGAATTGAATTCACGAATGCTCGAACCATCTATCGATACGGCAGTGGAATTGAATTCACGAATGCGCGAATTTCACCGAGAATTTAAAATGATCTTCTCGCGTGATAATTTATCGATTAATAATTCAGCAGATCGATGAAACAGAAACAGCCTTCACGCTGTTTGGGCTTTTGGATCGCATTGGACTTTCACTTGCGCAGAGTACTAAAATAAATCAAATCACGCTTGACGAGAAAATGAAAGCAAATTCGAAATGAAATAAATAAAATGTTTGGCTTGCTTTCATAAAAATGGGTGACACTTCGAAATGGTGCGAATTCTCCTTAACGAAGAACTTTTTTTTGTTATTCGTAGAATCTACTGGCAAAGTTACGTCGGGAAAAAGTGAGAGCACACTGCCACTCGTAATTAAACTACAAGTGAAATCTACGACTAAGTTAATGTACAAACGACTTTTGTAGTTTAGCAAAATTTAAATTTAAATTTAATCGGCATCGAACGATGATGAAAACATAAAGTCACGGAACTCCGTTCACAAGTCGTTTTCTTTCACACAAAATCTGAAATCAAAAATCGAAACGAACACGTAGAAACCACACGTTGATTCGTCTATTCAGGCCGATGTGCAACGAAACTCGCGAAGACATCGTCTGCGACAATTGTCCAGCAACAAATCGTCCAAGAACCATTAATTCGCCTCGAGCGCGTCAGCCATTCGTATTATCAAGTAACAATAATTCACGTCACGAACAATACGGCTCGTGCCCGACACTTTTCTCGAAACGCTCGAGACTTCTGAAAGCTTGTCGGAATTCATCGTGAATTCCGCCAACACCTGGCAACGATCGCGTGTCACTAACATCGCGGAGAGCTTATTGTATACCCAGAGCGCCATTCAAGCTCGTTCACAGTCGATTAATTAACAAATCCCTGTCCGGATTCCATGGAACATTTGCATAAAACGTTGTTCGTTTAATCGCGTATCATTCCGCCGACGCGAGACGATAGTCGAGTATATTTATACGCGCCGATTATCGAGTATATTTGGCCGGCCGCGTCGTCAAATTCTACACCTTGTCGTCAATGTTATTGTTTTACAAGTGCGAATAAAGAGTCGGATATTTTATTTAAAACAAAAGGAAAGAAAGAAAGAAAGAAAAGCGAGTCCACGCTCGAAAAAAAA